CTATTTTTGAATAGATATGCAGTGTATATTGTAAATAAAATGAGTGAGATTGAAGATCTCTGTAATACTTCTATTTTTATCTCAGTCTTGTCTTATTTCATTCCATCAAAGAAGAGTTGTATAATTCTTTTAGATATAAAACAGTTAACTCATTTTATTAGAGAAAGTGGCAGTTTTAATATCTTCAATATCTGAATTAACTTTGACTTTGAAACATGATTAAATGCTTCTTTTATATCAATAAAAACTGCAGTTGAGACCAGACTCTCATACTTTGCTATTTGAATATCATGAACAACTGAGAGAATAGTGTCAATTGCAGAACACTGTTTTCTATCTCTTATTTATTCACTGAATAAAAGAGAATCATCTATAGAGCTTATAAAAGATAGTTGAGTAGCTATTATCTTTTCTAAAACCTTTTCTAAACAGTTCAATAGAGATATTACTCTATATGACTTAGAAATTAAAGTTTTTCTATTAGATTTTACAAGAATCACTTCAGTGGCTTCTCTTCAGCATTCAGAATGATATTCATTTTTTAAGAGATTGAAAAAGAGCTCAAAATATTCATTCTTTAAGTAGAAATATGTATTTTGAATAATCAAGTGATTAATTGAATCAGGACCTGCAGCAGTTTTAACAGAACTTGAGAAGATAGCTGACTCTAATTCATCTTGTGTAAGATCAGGCCATTTTCAGTCATTTTCATTAATATAGTTGAGAAGTGATATATTCTCTTTCTCTGAATCTGAATCTGAATCTGGTGAGTTCTGAAAGAGAATTCTCATGAAAGCTTGACATTTTTTCTCAAAAGAGTTTGCTGTATATGATTCATTCTGAAACTCATATTCTAAGACTGGAAGTTTTGCTACACTTCTTGTTTTAGTATAGTTAAAAGCTTTAAAAACTTCCTTCTCTTGTGCTTCTTCAAGAAATTTATTCCAGCAGTCTGTTTTAGCTCTTTTGATATCTGAAAAATATTCATTTCTGACAGCTTTGAACTCTTCATCAGATATTACATCATTCTTTCAATCTCTTCTAGCAGTAGCTAATTCTTTTCTTTTAGATGAGATATTCTCATTTCATCAAGGTTTTGAATACTCAGAAGATTTTCTTTTTGAAATATTATCTCTATCACTTGTTAGAATAATAGATGTAATAAGCTTCACTCTATTCTTAAGCATTTCATTTGAGATATCTTAACCAGAATTTCAATATAGCTTATTCTGTCTTTCAGATTTTAACAGTTTTATGCTTTCTTCAACTGCTTTTCAATCAGCTTTTTCAAAGTTATACTGATTAGACAGAAGAGAATTTTCACTCATTTGTTTTTCACTCAGTTCAATATTAAATTGAATAATCTCATGATCTGATTCTGATGTCTCATTTCAATCAATAAATCAGTTTACAAGTCTTCTTTTCATTAGATTTTGTGACATGAAGATTAGATCTATAATAGACTTCTGTTTCATGTCTTTTCTAAAGAATGTTTGTTGATCAGACTTATTAATCAAATCTATTGAATGCTCAAAGATTCATTCACTCAGATTATCAGCTCTCACTGCTCTCTTGCATTCTGAATTTCATCAGAGATGATGTGCATTGAAATCTCCTGCAATTATAGAGTTTCTTGATGAAGTTATGTTCAGAAATTCTCTATCAATTATTCAGATATTATTATTTTTCTTCAATGACTTTTCATTATAGATATTTATGAGCTGTATAGTATCAAACTCATTTTCTTTATCTATAATATCACTCATCAGAATATCAGGGTCAGATATAATATCAAATCTTAGATTAAATTGATATCTTGATCTCTTTCTTTCATAGATCACTACTCTTGACTTTATCTCAGACTTTTGAGGTAAAAAGCAGTAGTAGCTTGAATGAGAAATGACATATTTTTACTCAGCATCAAAATTCAGCTTCTGAAGCAGTATAAAATCAACTTTTTATTCAAATGTAATTTGAAGATAAGAATAAATACAATTTGAGTTTCTATTCACATTATTTTGAATAAATGTGATTTTTGAAGAGTTTTTAAACTTTTTTTGTTGTTTTTGTTGTATATTCATACTAAAAGAGAGTAGAGTAGAATCTAATCACTATCATTAGATAGTAGATTATAACTGTTCTGAAAAGTAGAAATCTCAACTGCTTGCATTATATCTAGTTTATCATTAGAGTTATTTCTCAATTCTCTAATCTTAACAGAAGTTTGAGAATTCAAATTCTGTTTACATTTAGCTGAAGAATTGAAGTTTGAAGACTTAGATAGTTGAGAGTTTCTTCTTTTTAAGCTTGCAGTTGTGAGTTTACTGGCTTGACTCTTCTCTTCAGTTCTAGATTGACTTTGAGCTTCATCTTTTCTTCAGTTCTTTTGAGTTCTAGAAGCAAACATACATTCTTTTGAGCTAGATGCATGTTTTTCTTTGCAATTAGAGCACTTAAGCAGAGTATATTGACAAATTTCACCTCTTTTTGAGCATGTTTCATATTTATGCTCACTAGTTTTGTGATCTCTGACACAGAATGTACATTTTGAGTCTCTAAAACATGAGATTGCAAAGTGTTCATATCTTTGACAGTTTGAACACTGTGTTTAAGCTTTGAGATTCATTATTGAGTCTTTATATTCATGAACTCTTATTTTCAAATCTGCTACTCTTACTTCAGAGATCTTTGACTGTTTAAGTGTTTTTATATATACTAGAACAGAGGCATTTCTCCTGCTTTGTCTGAACTCAATTGAATTTAGTCATACAGGCTTCTTTCTCAGTTGAATAGAGTTGTATTCTTTCAATTCATTTTTGAGAAGTAGCATTCCTTTTTCACAGTCAAAAATTTCAACTGAAATATCATGAAGAATGAATTTGTCTCACTTTTCATCTCTTTCAGATAGAATTGTTGTATTTAACAAAGATTCTACTGCTGACTTTCAGAGATTCTCATTCTGAATAAGGAATTCAGCACTGAATTCAGGCATTGTAGTCAAAATGATGAAGTTTTCAAAGAATGATGACTTAATTGAAGCTATAACTGGTTTTTGAACTTCAATATCAGTCATTAACTGAGAAAAGAACTGCTGATTAATTTCATTTCTGATTCTGAAAATGAGATTTGAGTTTAGCTTGTTTCTTTGCAGAATGTCCTGGTTTGAGACTTTGAGAATAAGTCTTCTATTTCTGAAGATTTGAAAGTTTTTCTCTTTTTGCATTTTCTTTTTCACTTTTCTATGAATAGAGGCATGAGCAGTATTCTTCTCAGTTTTCTCAGGATTTTGAGCAGATTTTAAGACAGCAGGTTTAGAGACAGCAGATTCAGCTGCTTGAGCATATATTTTCTTCTGATTCAAAGAAGAAGAAGAAGTAGGAAAAAAGAAAGAAGAAGAGCAAGATGAAGAGTCAGTGATTGTACTAGAAATTTTCAAGGTTTTTTGAACTGTGTTTGAGATTCCAAGTTTGAACTTGATCATCTCCTGTAGTTGTCTAGCCTGAGCATGAAGAATTAACAGAACTTCTTCATTCATCTCACTCAGACACTGCTTTTCAAGAATCTTACTTGCTTTTTCAAGTTTCTGTATTTCAAGAACTTGTTATTTCTCTATTTCTTCTTTCTTTCTTCTCTTCAGAATTTCAATCTCAGAAATAGCATTTGAGAAAGCATCTTTTTCCACATTAACTGAGTGTATTTTTGAACTCATTGTTTTCACTCAATGAAAAGTTGGTCAGACTGTTTCAATTGAGATATTTCTAAGTCTGTTTTCAATTGAAAAGTTGGTCAGACTGTTTCAAAAGAAGAATAAAAGACTTTTGTGTATAAAACACCTTAGTTCAGTAACTAGGTTAGATTTTTGAAGAGAATCTAATAAACTAAAATTGATTTTTAAGATAAATCAATAAAATCTTTACAACCTCTTTCTTGAGATACAGTGAGGACAAGTATGATATCAATTAATAATAAATCAGATGATATGACAGTTTTTGAGAGAAAAACTGACAAAAAATAAATCAATTTTTTGCAGAGAAATTGATTAAAACTTGTAGCGTACGCCGCTATATAGAGTCAGATATAAGGGTAAAAACTTGTCTGATTCTCTTAAAGATGGGAGATGAGCGTACACTCTTATATATACAGTGATTGTTCTATAGAGATTAGCTCTTGTAGAAGAAGCAATCGCCTATGAAGAGAAGAACAGAGGCTCTGTAGAGAAGAAGCAGATGCTCTCATAGAAGAAGTGATTGCATATGAAGAAAAGAATGAAGGCTCTGTAGAGAAGAAGTGAAAGCTCTCATAGAAGAAGCAATTGCATATGAAGGGAAGAACAGAGAGAGAAGATAGAAGTGAAAGCTTCAGAAAACAGCAAGAGATGAAGTGAAAGCTAGAGCTGAATAGAGAATTGACTTGAATAGAGAGTGGAAGCACGCCACAGTCTCTCTATCTGAAAGAATGTGTTCATGAAGAAGAAAAAATGATGTTGAAAAAAGATGACAGGTATTGCGGGTGCTAGGCCCAAAGGGGTGAATATTATTCAGAAGTGCTAGTCTGTTTACATATGCTGCAGATATCATAGAAAAGAGGAGACTGAGTGATAGAATCACTTATTCATATAAAGAGTGATCAGATGTAAGAATTATTTATCTCTACAAAGAGTAAAAGATGTAAGAATGACTTGAAAAGAAATGATAAGAAAGAGACAGTAGTTCTTTAATCTTAAAAACAGCTGTAAGAAAAGAAAGAAATTGTAAAGAAATTTACAAGAAGCTTGAATGAGAAAGAGTTCTTTGATGAGATAGATAAGGATGAAAGTTTCATTGTGATAAGAGAAAGATTCTGTGAGTGATAGAGATCAGTGTAGATAAATGATTGCATTAATATATATATCACAATCACTTTCTTCTTATTCTTCTCTTATTTCTCACACATCTCGCTAAAATTTAACATAGCAGAATTAGTGAAAATTGTGACATATAAAAGATTAGATCATGAAAACAATGAGTCTCAAGAAGAAGTTGACAGCCGCAAAGACAGGCACAGTGAGCATGATGAAAAAGGTCTTAGTCTTAGAGAAATTATTTCAGTCATTAAGTCAGAAGAAGTGTGATGTTCTTCTTCATATAAGTGATAGAGAAGAGAAGACAGGTGAGAAGACTAATAAAGAGAAGACAGATGAGAATGAGATGAAAGAAAATGATGAAGATGAAGAGTTAGAATTCTGAATAGATGAGCTTCTGACACTATTAACTTATCTTTTCATATATGAAGTGATCAAAGATCAAGATAAAGAAAAAACAGTGATATCTTGTCATCACTCAGCTAGGCTGCATGATGCTGCTGCAGAAGAGTTAACAGATGAATTGTATGATAGAAGCTTGAAGAGTCAAGAAGAATCTAAGACTGTGATGTGAAAGCTTATAACACTGTTTACTTATTTGAAAAAGTCATAACTGTTCACACACTGATTTTCAGAAGAAGATATTGAGATGAATGAGAGAGAAGAGAGTCAGAAGACTGCTGCAGAAGCAGCTGATGATGAAGAGCTGTAAGTAGAACTGAAAGTGAGAGCTGAATAGACAGATACAGATACTGAAGAACTGTTACTGATGAAAGAGAGTAAGAAGTGCTGAAGAGCTAGTCAGAAGTAATATAAGACTCTGAGTGATAATGTTTTGAAGAAGTCAGAGTGAAAGAAGAATGTTGAGAGTGATCAGGTGTCTTGACTGTATAACATGATATATATAAGATGCCTGTATTACAATGACAAGATCAACTTGCACTTCTAGTAAAATGACAAGCTCGCTTGCCTGAGTGTGTCAATCATGTGAGATCTGACTGTGAAGGAGCTTGCAGATGCCATCTTGATCATTAAAAGACTTATAGAATGTAGTGAGAAGATATCATTTATTAATTATGAATTTTTTGTTTTACTCAGTCAGCAATTGATTAAAGATTTGAGACAGTTATCTGCTAAGTGAAAGTTGCACTGATGAATGAATAATGATGAGTTAATCACTTCACAGATCATCAATTCTAAGAATTCTGCTAATCAGAATATTATTATTCTGCAGATCTGTGAGGAAATAGCTTCTATGTTGTGTCAGTGTTGCGCGAAGGGCCAGGAGTGATTCAAGAAATATGTGATTATCTCTGCAGATGATAAACAGATGTGATAAGAATATAATGCTTACATCAACTATCAGTGAGAAAATAAGAGATTTCACTGCTCTTTAAATTGCTGTAGTCAGTATAAACTCAGATGAAACATAAATAACTTGCTGTTTAAAGAGAGTGTGCCTGGATTTGAAAAGACTGTGACTGAGAAGATGAATGTTGATAACATCATTGAGATCAGTGATACAGAGAAGAAGGATGATTTGACTATAGTTTTAATGAAGAAAATGTCTACATCTTTCAAGTACAAGGTGTTGAGTCTGATTGCACTGAAACTCTCAAAACATGTTCAAATCAGTAAGTGAGGCATCTCAACACCTGTGAAGATAAGTGATGAGATGAAGACAAGCTGTTCAACTTCTGCTAAGATGATCAATGAGACTAAGATGAGTGATATATGACAGTTGTTGATTCTGTCTTCTAAAGGCTGTACAGTCAATTGTAGAGCTCAAGATCTGAAGATGCTGAGACAGCTGTCTAATCTTGACAAGTATAATCTGAACACTGTTCAGGCTGTGTGAAAGAAACTGAATAAGATAGCTGAGTTTGTCAATGTGATTTCAGCTGTGAAGAATACTGTGACTAATAATCATTTCTTTAAGTTACTCAGTGAAGTGTGTTTCAGTGATCTTGTGAATAAGAGATTGTCGGTGAATGTTGCATTTTGAAACATATATCTCACTGAGCAGGAGGTCAAGCTGCAGGAAGAGCTTGAAGATGATTGATAAGAAGAGATGAGATGAAATGATGAAAAGAGTGAAAGATGATGATTTTCTTATTTTCTTTGTTTTCTCATTCAATAGCTAAAATTAGATTGTAATACATTTTCTTTCTTTCTTTCACTCTGTCTCTATTTTACTTTTCTTTCTATTGTTTACTCAGCTGACTGTGAGACTTCTTGATCATGAAGACCTTGATCAGGTGTGAGATATCTTATGTAATAACTTCAAGAGACTCTCAGATCAGATCTTCATATCTCTTTCACTTAATCTGAAGATAAGTCTTGTCATTCTCTGTGTGCTTTCTTATGATATTTTTAACTTCAAATTATGACTGATCATCAACAAGTACTGATTCTGATGATAAGTGCTTCATATCTGCTTCTATTAATATAATCTTTTTCAGATGAATAATGAAGATTACTGAGTACATTTATCAATCAGCTGACAGTTTCAATTAAAATGCAGCATCTGATACTTTCTGAAGAATGTGAAATAAGCCTATCTGTAAGAGTGATAGCTTGAATATTTCTTTTAATATATAGCTCTTTTGAGCTTTTTGAGTGAGGTTCAAGAAGACTCAATCATCAATCTGAATAGTTGATTGAAAATGAGATCAGTCAAAGAACTCAGTCATTCTAGCTTTTATCAGAGTGTATAAGTCAAGAATATCTTGTCATATTGCATCTTATACAGCAATGAACTCAGCTACATCTAGCAGAGCTTTCTCATTGTTCAATGACAGTCATCTAGACTTTACACCTGTGAGTAATTCAAAGAGAGAGATCATTGCTGACTGTGCAGCTACTGAGTTTAATACTCTTTTCACTTATTCAAGCAGAGCAGTTCAATTTGCTTCATATTTATCTATAAGAAGTGTTCATAATGTGACTTCAACTATGAGATTGATTCACTCACTTTGATCATTTGAGTGAGAATTGTAGACAGTTGTCATTCATGTCTTAATTCTCATGAGTTGAAGAACTGACTTTTAAAATTGTGATGTAAATTTGAGATCTCTATCTGAAATAATCATCAGTGAGAGTTATCAGCAGCAGATCATCTTCTTATAGAAGTCTTTCACTTATCATGAAGCATCTCATTGTTCCTGTTCTGTAATTAGAATTACTGCTTTCAAAAATTTATCTGTGACTGTCAATATAGTGTCATGATTATCACTCATAGATAATTCTGTAATAAAATCAATTGAAAGAACTTTAAACAGTTGTTTTAAGAGTGAGATGAGGTGTAATTTGCTCCCTGACAAGTGATTCAGCAGTTTAACTAGTTGATAATTGAGATATTGTAATAGATGGTTCAGGATTCTCTTTCAGACATGGAAAAGAAAGAAGGACTGATGAATAAGGTTTTTCATTCAATGAAGACCAGGGTGACCTGCTGCATTGTGACACATACAGATGATGTCTCATACCAGTGATTTGAGAATACAGAGATGCAATTCTTTGAAGAACAATAGCCTGTTCTACACTGTAAATGACTGGTATTATTCTTTCTGACTGACCTTGTGAAAGATCTTTCTCAATGCTGAGTCATGAAGAATATCTCAGTATAGTTACTTTTTGAATTCATCAGCAAGCTCTATTACTGTAATTAAAATCATACATATCTTCACTGAAGATATGTGTGTCATCAGTCTGTCTATCTGATTGATGATGACTTGATAAATTTTTTTCTGCTCTTCAGAGAAAATCTCTTCTGAATCATTATCTAGACAGTACAACCTGAATAGAGTGTCAGTATTAGTATGTATGACACTCTTGTGATAGCAGATTGTCATCTGTGAGAGATATGAGCTTAGAACTAAGGCTTAATTCATCAGTCAGTTGCTACAATGATCTATTATCAGTGACTGAAAAGCAGATATAAGAGTAATATGATCTGTGATAACTGTAAACTTACTGTCTAAATACTGTGATAATTTCTGCAGAGCTTATATGAGTTTAAGACACTTCAATTCAGTTATTCAGTAGTGCTTTTCAGCTGTGCTTAATCAGTGAGAGAGAAATAGAACAGGTCTTTCAATATTATTCATTCTGACTTGATGTAGAACTACTTCAATATCTCTTTGCTTACTGATGTTCACGTACAATATGAAGAGACATTTAAAGTCAGAATATGTTCAGGTGAGGGCATTCATCAAGGCTTGCTTTATCATATCAAATGAATGTCTGACTTCTGTGAGCAGAGTGTGAAACTGCAGTGAGTTCTCAAATCTCATTAACTTGATCTTAGCTGTGTATGATGCTCTTTTCTGATCTGTTTTTAAACTGTTATACAGTAACTTGATCTTGAGAGTCTCTAATGCTTTCATCTGATCTGCATAAAAACTGACAAAATTATGATAATAATTGAAGAGGCTGATGATTCCTTCTAGTTCTTCAAGTGTTATAGAGAAGACTAGATTAGTAATAGCAGCTACTTTCTCTTCTTGAGTAGATATGTCTAGTCAGCTGATATGATGACTCAGCAAACACACTGAGAGATACATGAAATGATATTTAGTTAATGACATTGTTATCTCAGATATCTCAAGAGCTGTGAAGACTTGCTGTATATAATGAAAATATTCATTCAGTGAGTGAGAGAAGATGATGATGTCATCTACATAGACTAATATGAATTATCATAGAAATTTCACTAGAATCTTCTTCATACACTGTTGAAAGAACTCAGGCAAGGTTGTCAATCTCATTGTGATAACTGTAAAATGTTCAAGATCTCAGTGCAGAATCATGAATATGATTTTGAAATGATCATTCTGTTCAATTGCTTATTGAAAGAAGTCTTGACAGATATTCATGAATAAGAATACTATAGAACTGCTGAGTGATTGCAATACATCTTATTGTATTAATAGAGAATATGCATTGAGAAGTAAGTATGTGTTTACTTTTTACAAATCAATCATCACTCTCAGCTTTCTTCTAAGTCAGATCACAAAGGTGAGTGAAGCAATGAGATTTCTGTCTTCAAGGAAAACACATTCAATTCTTCTATCTTACAGAAGTGGGTTCAGAATCTGATCAGTGACTTTGTGATCTCTTCAAGACAGAGAATAGAGTCTCTGTTTCAGGCTGAAAAAGTTGCTCTCATCAATGAATCACAGTAGTATCTTAATATCATCTGAAAATAAGCCTAGGCTGAAGCTAAATAGTTTGTGATGTCAGTCAATGATCATTTGAATGACTGCTCAGTCTTCTGCTACTCAGTGATCTGATATGTCTGCTTGAACTCACTCAGTGAGAGTGTCTGCTGTGGAAATTTGAAGTGAATTATTCTGATCTTCTGCATCTGTCAAATGTAATTCAATGTATGAGATAGAAAACAGAGATTCTTCTCAGTCAGAATGATGAATGATATCAGCATTAGCAGTATAAATAACAATCTTCTTCTGCTATCAGAGCAGCTGTGAGTTTGACAGGCATCTACCCGCGTGGATAGTGTCTCTGATGATCTTGATATTTATGAAATATCTTCTGTGAAATGTAACAAGTTCACTGTGAACATTGATAGTTGCTTTCACTAATAATAATACATCATTAGCTATGATTATATTACATCTGAGATATCACACTAAGTGGAATTTGTCTTCAACAATGAAAAGAGAATCATCATCTACTCTCAAGATAAGATCTGTTGTTATGAATAGGTTTGATTCATCAGCTTCTGAGCCAACTTCTTGAATGTTCACATGTTGATCATGCAGCATAGAGGCCAGTCAACAATGAAGAAAGAATAGGTTTGCTATTATTATGTCAATAAGTGATATACCCGCATCTGTATTCATGTAAACAGAGAGATCACCTTGTGATGTAATAACAGAAATGATGAGAAAGATGTAAGACAAATACTGTAGTTCACTAATGTATTCTTGATCACTTATAGAGATATCACACACTGTAACTGTATATATGTCAGCATTAAAGATGTTCTGATAATCATCTGAGAAAATGTCTGTAGATGAGATGAGTCTCTCAGTATCTATCTCACTGATTATTTTTTCAACTCACTGTCAGAATCTAGACTGAGATCTAGATTCAGCAGCTTATTGTCATCTTCTCTAATACTCTTCAGTTTGACTTGATTCACTGAATGATTGCTGTTCTCCTCTTTTTTAAGGCAGTGATTAATGTAATGAGAGTCTTCACAGATGTAGCACTCTGCTACAGGCAC